TAGGAACTTCCTGTCGGCCATGTTATTCTGTCAGAAATATTAGGAACATACTGTCTGCCGTGTTATCAGAAATATTCAGAACTTCCAGTCGGTCATGTTATTATCAGAAACATTAGCAACTTCCTGTCGGCTGTGAGCCCTGAATTGATGAGCTACACGAACCTGCAGCTGCCACTAATCTAAAGTTTATAATCTCAGATAATCCAGTTTATTTAGGTCATTTGATGATGACAGTGAGTCTTTAGCTCATCAGTGCTCAGGAAGCCATCTCCAACAGGTAAGATACTTGCTGTTCATTTTGACAGAGCTTCAGTGTAGCTGAATTATTCCTTTCCAGGTGTTTCCTGGAGCAGAATGTGATGAAACATAATGAGGAGCAGTGCAGCTCGTTAGATCAGAGCAGGACTTCAGCGCTCGTTGCTCAGCTTCTAGTGTTTTATTTTAGTTTATTTTATACAAGCAGGTATTTGGTTTTGTTTGTAATTTGACCCGTTGCCTAGTTTTTATCTGCAGTCAGAGTAGAAAGTGTCGGCTGCGGGGAATTAATGTTTTCATTTTGTTCAGAAGTTCCTGTTTCAGAAGCGAGGAAGAGAAACTCAGGAAAAGTCCAGACCAATGAATTCTCTATGTAGAGGACTGGAGGGCCCTGGGGGGTGGGGAGTGGTGGATGGGTGGGGGGGGTGACAGTAAACCCTGAACTCACATCTGGCACCTTGACATTTCATCCACTCCGACACACGGTTTTGTTTTCTAGGATTGCTTTGTAATAATTTGTACAGTTTTGCATGTTTTAGATGTTTTCAGTTCTTTTATTTACTCTTGTTTTTCTGGACTGTTGGGGCGTTTTACTGACGATAAGCAGCTACAGATGATGTAGATTCTTTTTGCACAACAATATTTAAGGTGGAAACAGAACTGATGCCACTCCTGTGTGGAGAACTCATATTAACCTTATTACTCCGATGTATTTCAATAAAGCGGAGGGCCGTTACAAACACTACGGTGACTAAAGAGTGCTCCTTTCTTCACTACTGTCAGCTGAGCGTCCAAATCAAAAGAACTTTTATTAAAAACGTCACAGCTATGAGCAGAAGAGTCATGTCATATTTACAGATTCAGTAATGTTCGACCACTGATGGACAGGCTGTGGTAAACGTGCGCTCTGCTGTGAAGCAGGTTCAACTTATCGAGGGATTCTCTCAGATCTGATCTGACCAGGACAAAACTCGGCCCAGGATTCTGACTGGGTCAGAACTAACGGAGCCAACGATGGAAAAGAGAAAACAATTCTTTTAACAGGATTATCACCTGAAGAGGGAGCTATATTGCTGCTTTTAATTTATTTATATTGTGCTGTTAGCAAAATATCTCGAGCACCACAAGACAAAGTTGAATGAAACTTGCAGAAACTGAAATCAAATTTGAAATAAACCCAATTCAAGATGGCCGCCACAGCAAACTGACCTGAGGAAACAGCAAATTTCACAGATCTCTCTCACACACACACACATCTATATTATTAAAATGTATGAGAAAGCCATCAAATAAAACCCCGTTCCCTCAGGAAGCTGCTGATCCTGCTTCATGGACCAGAACTCAGACTATAAATCTAGACCTCTTGTTGCCAGGTGGAGTCAGGTCCTCTGGACGGAGGCTCCTCCCCGTTCTCTTCACAAAGATGGCTTCCTTCACTCCTCTCTCAAATCATTGTGCCTCTTCATCAAGGATGTGAACATCTTCATCCCTGAAAGTGACCTCTGCAGGCCAGAGGTCACTTTCAGGGATGAAGATCCTGATGGTCCTCCTCGATCATGTGAACAGCTAGTTCTGGATGTCAACTGGTTGATCCACGATGAGACGGTGCAGCTTCTAAGAATCCGTCCAGAGGGCCTGACTCCACCTCATTAGATCATCTAGCTGGATTATTGATTATGGATTAATGAGCAGCATCAGGACAAACAGTCACTGAACTAACTTGATTTGATCCGTTTCATTTCTCTGACTGGTAGAAATGAAGCAACTGTTTCGGTTTTCATGAATCAGTGAGTTTCACTGGAGGCTTTTCTCTGTGTTTTCAGGTCCAACAAGAAAAGTATAAATGGAATAATTCTCCTCCACCTCAGTCTTTATCTGACAAAGTTTATATTTGAAGTTTCCTTTAGAGAAAACAAAAGTCAGAGCTGAAGGGAACAAATAAAAACTTACTTCAGCTCTGTGTCCCAAAAACATAAAAATGAAATGGAGGTCAAAGAGGTCCTGCTGGAGTGGAGTCCCAAAGAAAGAAGTGCAGTTTGTTCACAGCTCGGCTCCGATGACTCCGACAGTAAATGTTTGTTCTGTTGGAGCAACTTTCAAATCAAAACTTCATGTTTGTGTGAGAAGGCAACAAGAAGTTTGTTGTTGGATGGAGACGGGCGGACCGGCAGGAAGCTGACCAACTGGATTCTCTGTATCACAAAGAGGAGCAGCATCTGTGCCTCGGACCAGAACCTGAGCCTGACCCAGAACCGGACACCGCGGGTGCTTCATCAGTCGTCCTGCTCAGTGGACCGTTCTACAAACAAGCTGCTGTGTCTCAGGCTGCAGCTCCGTCCTCCTCCATCATTCTGTGGACTCCGAGGACGGCGCTCAGGTCCCTGATGCTGCTGTGCCGTGATTGGCTCTCCAGTCTGAGGGCGGAGTCGTGTTTGGACAGGAAGTCCAGTCGGGTGGTGCTGCAGTGTCTGGACTGGTCGCTGAGGCGAGGAGCGCTCCCATAAAGCAGCCGCTCGTCTCCTGCCCGGAAACTGGAGCCGGTGTGTCTGTGGGGACGGACAACCAGTGTGAGGTTCAGGACACGCACACTGTGACTGAACACACACACACACACACTGTGACTGAACACCCCCCCCACACACACACACACAC